CCTTAATAATAATAAATAGTTTTTTAAAGCAACATTTAACCATTATCTTATTTTAGCTAAAATTATGTCATATAAAGATCAAATCAAAACTAAATGATTCTAAAATTTAAAAAAATAGGGGTGAACAACCCTTGATAAAAATAAATAGTTTTACAAAGTAAAGAGTGTTCTATGTATTTTTCGATTTAAATTATTAAAAATTAAAATAAAGAAAATTGGTCAACAAATTTAAAAAAAAATGTTAGGGGTGAACAACTCTTGATAAAAATAAATAGTATTTGTGAGTAAAGACAGTTGTATGTATTTTGTTAATTCCACATTAAAAAAATTAAAATAAAAAAAGTTGACCCAAAATTGGAAAAAAGTATTAGGATTGGTCTACCCTTAATAATAATAAATTGTATTTAAAGCAACATTTAACCATTATCTTATTGTTAGCTAAAATTATGTCATATAAAGGTCAAATTAAACTAAATGAAATTGATTCTAATATTTAAAAAAAATAGGGGTGAACAACCTTGATAAAAATAAATAGTTTTTCGATGTGAAAAAAGTCCTATGTACTTTTCAATTTCAAATTATAGACAATTAAAATAAAGAAAATTGGTCAAAAAATTTTTAAAAAAAATGTTAGGTGTAAACTACCCTTGATGAGTAAAGACAGTTGTATGTATTTTGTTAATTCCACATTAAAAAAAGAGTGCGCGTAAGGATCACACGCGATTGAAGTAAAACTTATTTGCAATTATATTGTAGCAAATTTAAGTTGAGTGAAAATAAATACATCATATAAAAATTTTGAATAATGATGCACGCATTATTAATGTCGTCAATCATTATACACATTTATAAATGATAAATTATGAATTATATATTTATGATTACAATAAAAATATGTATAATATTTACAAACAATAATATGTAATCAAAGTCATACTTGAAATATGACTTGATCGGTTTAAAGTAATTGCTGATTAATAAATTATAATACAGTGGATTATGTTAAACAACGCCTAAACAAATATTGTTTTTGCAAATTAACTCATCCTGTAAAAATTGTGTTTGAAGAACTTCGTGTAATTAAAATTAACATACATTCATTTACTGTTTGTATTTTTTACTTTCTCGCTGACGATATAATCTCATTCCTTGAACAGCTGTAATATCTGTCTTGCCTAAAAAATTGAAGCCATACTTTTATATTTGTTTTTTTTTTATCAAGCTGCACATAGCTTGATCTATGAATCATTTTCTTTTTTATGTGAACGTTAATGCAATGATAATCATCAATATTACGAGGGTAATAAATTACCATATTATCAACGTCAACAGGAACATTTATAATTTGGTCAAACATTCCAAATGATTTGAGGAGTTTGAATTTTCTGAAGAAGTTTTACTTCAAAAATGATTAGAATTGCAGAAATAGCTATGAAAAAATAGGGGTCGGTGATAAAAAAGTAAAAAGTTCTTCTTACTGTGATCCTGATAGCATAGATCCTAAAGCCTCGACCATGCACGCTAAACCGTATCCTTTATAACCAGATGTTTCTTCAGCGCCTCCCAAAGGCATCAGAATGCCATTTTTGTAGCCAACAGCTGGGTCTGCAGTAGGTTGGCCATCTGGCCCTAAGGCCCAGCCTAGAGGTATCGGTTTGTTGAGCCTGCGGGCCATTTCGAGTTTACCGAGGGCCACTGCAGACGTTGCCATATCTGGGGAAAAATATTGATTTAAGACGGTTATATATATATATATATATATATATATATATCTCGTATCATAAAATTCTTGTGTCACAAAGTTTATATACACGTCCGAAACGGCTTTACCGATTTATTGAATTTTATATATGTATTTTGTATATGTACGTGTATATACGTGTATGTATTTTAATATGTAGGCCTGAGAATGGTAACTGTCTATTTTTCATACCCCTAAGTGATAAGGCTTTTTTAATTCCCGTAGGGTAAGTTAGTTATAGTAATGGGCCGAAAATCGAAATTGAAAATTTTTACATTTCTCGACGTTTTGAAGGTTTCTGAACGTTTTGGCATACCTCAGAAAAAATGGATGGTGTGTGTGGTATATATATGTGTGGATACAAATTTCCAGTCACGTTTCAGGGCGCACGGATCAACCGATTTGAATGGTCAAAAAACATCCGATTCTATTGATAGGGAAAAGAGCTGATTAGTTTTTGGCAAAAGCAGGTTCAGCCGTTTCGGAGATACGGAGCAAAGAGTGCAGAAAATAGAAATCGACTTTTTGAGAGAACGGAGTATCCGATTTGAATGATTAAAAAACATTCAATTAGTAATGATTGGGAGAAGTGTTGTTAGTTTTTGGCAAAGGCAGGCCCAGCCATTTCGAAGATACGGAGCTAAATATGTAAAAAATGGCAGTTTTTGAGAGAACTAAGCGTCCGATTTAAATGATTCAAAGAACTTTCTGCTTGTCTTAACAAAATAATTGATTTGGAAAAAAAAATTTTGTTCCAATTTTTTTTTTTTTTTTTTTTTAGTATTTTGTATATCGAAAAAATAATCAGATTTTATTTTTGATTCTGACTATAGTTCTAATATAACTTATACAAAAATTTTAAATTGCAATACAGTTTATCTTATAAATATTAGACAATGTTACAATATTTATAATAATCTATTTGAAAACATTCAGTATTCCTCGAACATTTCGTTACGGTACGGGAAGTTCCAGCAATTTGCCTTAAGCCACGATGCCACCCACCCCACTAGTTACCCTTCAATTTATTTTTGTAATTTTTGGACGGATTTTTTTGTTTTTATTCTTCTATAATGTGGCATTAAAAAATACATACAACCCTAAATTTTTATTTTTTTATCACCAACCCCTATTTTTTATGGCTATTTCAGCAATTCTATCAATTTTTATCTATTTATTTTTATTCAATTTTTATTAAATATTTTTGATATAATTTTAGTTCAGATTTTTGAGCTTGATGAAAAAACTCAATTTTTTTCTTTAAATAAATACAATTTATTATTATTAAGGGTTGTCCAACCCTAACACATTTATGCAAATATGAGTTCAATTTGTTGTTTATTGTAATTTTTTTAATTACAAATTGCGGAATTGAAAAATACATACAATTCTTTTTACTCCTAAATACTCTTTTTTGTCAAGGGTTGTTCACTCCTAACATGTTTTTTTGTTAATTTTTTGACTAATTTTATTTATTTAATTTTTTATAAATTGAAATTGAAATATGCATAAAACTCTCTTTACTTAGAAAAACTATATTTTTTATCAAGGGTTGTCCACCCTTATTTTTTTAATTTTGTGAATCAATTTTCTTTTAACTTTAATTTGACCTTTATTTGACATAGTTCTAGTTAAGATTTTCTTTGAGTATATAAAAATGGTTAAATATTGCTTTAAAAAATAATTTATTTTTATTAAGCGTTGTTTCCCCTAACATTTTTTTTTAAATTTTGGGACCAAATTCCTTTATTCTAACTTTTTATAATTTAAAATCGAAAAATACATAGAACACTCTTTACTTAGAAAAACTATTTTTCATCAAGGGTTGTCTACCCTTATTTTTATAAATTTTGGAATCAATTTTCATTTAGTTTTGATTTGACCTTTATTCCACATAATTTTAGCTAAGATAATGTTACTTTAAAAAATTATTTATTCTTATTAAGGGTTAGTTAACACTAACCACTTTTTCAATTTTGAGGTAATTTTTTTATTGTAATTTTTTTAATGCTGAATTGAAAAATACATACAACTGTCTTTACTCCAAAATACTATTTATTTTTATTAAGGGTAGTTTACACACCTAACGTTTTCCTTTTAATTTTGACACCAAATTTCTTTATTCTAACTTTTTATAATTTAAAATCGAAAAATACATAAAACTTTTTATTTTTATCAAGGGTTGATCATACCTATTTTTTTAAATTTTGGAATCAATTTTCTTCTACTTTTAATTTGACCTTTATTTGACACAATTTTAGCTAAGATAATGGTTAAATGTTACTTTAAAAAACTATTTATTCTTATTAAGGGTTGTCCACAACCCAAACACATTTTTTTAATTATGAGGTCAATTTTTTATTGTAATTCTTTTTACTTCAAAATACTATTTTTATGTCATGGGTCACCCTTAACTTTTTTTTAAATTCTGGAATCATTTTTTTAAATTTTAATTTTCAGAATGCGGAATTAAAAAAAAGTCCACAACTCTAAATTTTCACCCTCCTTCCACAAATCTTTATTTTATAATAGCTAGTCCGTGATTGTTTTTTTACTGAATTTTAAATTATATTTCCTGGTCTTATGATAAATTATAAATTTTATCTAAAAAATACTATTTTTTTTATCAAGGGTTTTATTAAATATTTCCCGATGCGCCAAACAGTACAGAATTGGTAAATGGTTTGCATAAAGAGCAATTTAAAAAAAAATAGAGAAATTGAATATTAAAATCTAAAGATATAACAGTTTTTGGTAGGAAAGTATCGGTACCATACAAATCTATAGCAAAACTGTTAAATTGTCCTCTCTCTTAATTTTTTTTCGAAAATTAATGAATTAATGAAAAGCGCGATAATAATATATAAAAATCTTGAATCTTTAAATGAGCCAATTCAATTTAAATAGAATCAGTTTCAAATTAGATTTTGGCTCTTGCAAAGACTATTATTAAGGGATATTTAAATGTCGAGTGCTTTGCAGTGTGTAAACTATTCATATATTTTTTGTTAGCTGCTCCTTTCACTTATCCACTATATTTGCAATCAGTTAGTTATTTTCGTACTAAACATTTTATGGCAAAATAACGTTTTCCGGGTGAGCTAGTATATATATATATATATATATATATATATATAAATATATTCGTACCTAATAAATAATAATCTTCTTTAATACTCGATGGCATTCCAATAGAAAGTGGATTTGTTCCCAAACACGCTTGTTTGCTCCTTGTCGGTGCCACCAAAGGGGAAGTATTTGTAGAACTGTATCCAATCAGGCCCTTTTCTACTGCCTGGAGGGTGTAATAACCTAACACATATATTTTTAACAATTAAAACCAAAAACATCCTGGCCAACTAAACAGCACAATCGGTTTGTCATTGTAATTAGCATTTAGAAATGAACCTTCATTAGAGAAATGAAGTAATTGCTGATTAATAAATTCTATAACATTCGTTCACACAGTGGATTATATTAAACAACGTCTAAACAAATATTGTTTTCGCAACTTCACTCATCATGTAATAATTGTGTTTGAAGAACTTTATGTAACTAAAATTAACATACATTCAATGACTGTTTGTATTTTTTTTTATTTTTTCGCTGGCGATATAATCTCATTATTTAAACGCTGTAATATCTGTCTTGCCTAAAAATATTTTTCATTTTGATAACTTCAAAGATTTATAGAAACTGCGAATAATATAGAAATAATTTCTAATCAATAAACTTACGTAGTTGGCTTGTCAGTAGAGTCCCTTTTTTAATTCTAGATTAGTTTGCTCGTCAGCAGAGTCCTTTTATTAATTTTCTAGTTTTTGCTCGTCAGTAGAGTCTTTTTATTAATTTTCTATCATTCGCTCGTCAGTAAAGTCCCTTTTTATATATTTTAGCTTTAACACGTCATTAGAGTCCTTTTTGTTAATTTTCTAGCTTTTGCTCGTCAGTAGAGTCTTTTTAATAATTTCCTAGCTTTTGCTCTAATAAGAAAAGGCGAGGAAATGTACTTTGCAATATATGAAAATAAAAAGGACTCTACTGACGAGCAGATTTAAAAACAACTTAGATGATAAAAAAGGGACTCTACTGACGATCTAATTAATTTTGAAACTCATAAAAAAGAACTGTACTGGCGGGCAAATTGAAAAACAATTCAGAAGATAAGAAGGAACTCTACTAACGAACAAATTGATTCTCAAAATCATGAAAAGGAACTATACTGACGAGCAACTTAAAAACAACTTGAAGATAAAAATAACTCTACTGATAGGCAATTTAAATGGCATTTTGAGAAAGAACTCTACTGACGAGCAAATTAAAAAGCAACCTAGAAAATTAAAAGGGACTTCAAAGATTTATAGAAAGTACTTACGAATAATATAGAAATAATTTCTAATCAATAAACTTACGTTTAGTACACGGCAATAAAAAATTTGTTTTATTATATTCAAGGAACGAGATAAAATATTATTTTGATTCAGGCGTTTTAAATTAAATCAAGATTTGTACTGCGATGTAACTTTAAAATGTTTATTTATCTATGCCGATTTTCTCGTTGATACAACGACAGATCTCTATTCCCATACACGACGACTAATCACAATCGACCCGTATAGAAATGATATCATCGAGAGCGAATGACGAATCATTGGCACACGACCTAGCCGTAACTCATTTCCGTTGCATTTACACCCTAGTTGCGCCTAAAGAAGTTTTACTTCAAAAAAACGTCTTTTGGCGAGCTCAAAAAACCCAAAAGGGATTCTACTGACGAGCAAATTAGAAAAATCAGTAAAACAAACTCTGATGACGAGCAAAATCAATTTTCTGGAGAGGACATGAGGGACTCTACTGATGACTAAACTAAAATCAAAGCAGAAAGGAACTCGACTTCAATTTTGGGGATTTCAAATGGAATGAAAAAGGGACTCTACTGACGAGCAAAATAGAATCAGAAGGGACTCGACTGACGCTCAGACTAAAAAAATAAGCAGAAAAAGGACTCTACTGACGATCAAATCAAGAAATGAAGAAAGACTACTGAAAACAAACTCTGATGGCAAGCATAATCAATTTTTTGGAGAGGACGAATGGGACTCTACTGATAAAGAAACTAAAAAAAGGAACTCAATATTTACTGAAGTACAAATTCAAATGGAATAAAAAAGGGACTCTACTGACGAGCAAAATAGAATCAGAAGGGACTCTACTGACGCTCAAACTAATATATAAGAAGAAAAAGAACTCTACTGAGCAAATTTAAGGAAAAGGATGAAGAAAACTACTGGCGATCAAAATATCATGAAAATTAAAGGGAACTCTACTGACGAGCAAATTTAAATTAGAAGAGCAATGACTTCATCAGCTCAGTAGTAAAACATTTTTGTGGGAGGAAAAAAGGGACTCCACTGACGAGCAAAATAGAATAATCAAAAAAACAAACTCTGATGACAAGCCAAATAATTTTTTTCAGAAGGACAAAAGGGACTCTACTGACGCTCAAAATTAAAAATATGAACAGATAAAATACTCTACTGACGAGCAAATTCAAAGAAAAAATTAAAAGGAACTCTACTGACGAGCAAATATAAAATAAAATAGCAATGACTTTAGCTAACTAGAAAAATCAATTTTGTGGGAGGAACAAAAGGAACTTCACTGACGTTCAAACTTAAATATAAAAAGAAAACAAACTCTACTGAGAAGCAAATTAAAATTAGAATAAAAAAAAATATTCACGAGAGCGGACTAAACTTCTTTGACAAGCTTGAGGAATACAAAAAGGACTCTACTGACGAGCAAAATAGAATCAGAAGGGACTCGACTGACGCTCAAACTAATATAAAAGAAGAAAAAGAACTCTACTGACGATCAAAATATCATCAAAATTAAAAGGAACTCTACTGACGAGCAAATTTAAGACTAATCACAATCGGCAAAATAAATTTGACTTCATAAAATTACTTATCCCTTACCAGCCATTCCGTAATGACACCCTCCCTTGGCCACAACGTATCCGATTCCGACTTTTTCGGCCTTTTTAATGGCCAACTGCATACAAAAGTTTCCTGTGACAGCCCCAAGGGCATTGCAGCCGCCTACCCAGGCCGCTGCGGGAGTCTCTTTTAAAATTTGGGGCTCCGCTCGGCCGTCGCAGACTCCTGCTTCCAGTTCGTTGAGGTACATCTCGAGACGATTCATACCTAGAGAAAATAGAAACTAGCTGTAAGTGGAATTCTGACTTAAGGCAATTAAGGCATCGTGCCTTAAGGCAAATTGCTGGAACTTCCCGTGCCAAAAATTATTATTTTTTTAAAAACGATTAACATTTTTGAAAAAAATTTACTTCGAAAAAATAAGATTTTTGAGAAACTATAAATTGGACAAAAAATTACTTTTTTTTGAAAAAAAACAAATTAAAAAAAAAATATTTTTTTAATTTTTTTTTTTTTTTTGTTGAAAAAAAAATATTTGTTTTATTTTAACATATTTTGGAAGATCTGAACTTTTTTTCAAAGCAGTCGTACTGCTTTATCTGCATAGAGACGAAATATCGAAGCGCGTAAGCGCCGCGTCGACGTCTAACGCGCAAACATTGGTACGGAACCCAAAGGAATGTAAACAAAATTTATACTTATTGTTAAAATCTCTATAAAATATCTGATAATTTGATGTGCATATGTCTAATGATCATTTTTGACCGCCAAATGGCATTTTTTTTTACTTTTTTCACTAGATCTCCGAAACCGCTAGTCCTATCTTCATGAAAATTTGATCAAATCTTCATCTTGTCAATACAAGTCAAATGTTTTTTGAATTATTAAAATCGGACGCTCCGTTCTCCTAAAAACTGAGGTACCATTTTCGGCACTTTTTGCCCCGTATCTCTGGAACGGCTGGACCTGCCTTCGCCATAAACTAATCAGCACGTCTCCTTATCAATACGGATCGAATGTTTTTTAAATTATTCAAATCGGTTGATCCGTGTTCCCGAAATCGTCGACGAAAATTTGTATCCGCACACACATACATACATACACACACACACACATACATCCATTTTTTCTAAGTTATGCCAAAATGTTTAGAAACCTCTGAAACGTAAAGATATACAGAAAATTTTCATTTTCGATTTTTTTGCGATTACTATGACTTACCCTACGGGAAGTTAAAAAGAGTGCGCGTAAGGATCACACGCGATTGAAGTAAAACTTATTTGCTACTGTACAAAGTAACAAATTTAAGTTAAGTAAAAATAAATACATCGTGTGACTAACTAGAAGGTAGAAAAAAGGACTCTACTGACAAGCAAATTTAAGATTAACTTTCATAATGGAGAAAGGACTCTACTGACGAGCAAATTGAAGGTCAACTTTCATAATGAAGAAAAGACTCTACTGACGAGCAAATTAACATGGATCTAGAAAATATAAAAAGGACTCTACTGATGAGCAAATCAACAATTTTTTAGTATAAAAGGACTCTACTGACGAGCAGATTTAAAAACAACTTAGGTGATAAAAAATGGACTCTACTGACGATCTAATTAATTTTTAAACTCATAAAAAAGAACTCTACTGGCGGGCAAATTGAAAAACAATTCAGAAGATAAGAAGGAACTCTACTAACGAACAAATTGGTTTTCAAAATAATGTAAAGGAACTGTACTGACGAGCAACTTAAAAACAACTTGAAGATAAAAAGAACTCTACTGATAGGCAATTTAAATGGCATTTTGAGAAAGTAAAAATCGAGCAAAGTAAAAATAGTAGGAGAAAGGGACTCTACGGACAAGCAAATTAAATATCTAGGCGAGGAGAAATAGGACTCTAATTATGAGCCACCTAAATTTTGAAGCAAAAAAGGACAGCACTGACGTTCAAATTAATTGTAAAATTATAAAAAAAATTCTATTCACGAGCAAAATAAAATTAAAATTAAAAAGGGAATCTACTGACGAGCAAACTAAAAATTAAAGAACAATGGAACTCTACTGACGAGCAAACAAACAATGAAAGCAAAACGAATCTACTAAAGAATAAACTAATAATAAAACAAAAAAGGGACTCTACTGACGAGCAAACTAAAAATAGAACAAAGAGACTCTACTGACGAGCAAATAACAATTCTAATAGAAAAACGCTACTGAAGAGCCATTTAAAAATAGGAAATTTACTCATGAGCAAATAAAAAAAGAACTCTACTGACGAGCAAATTAACCAATTTTTGCTATAAAAGAAATCTACTACCGAGCAAATTCCTAGATGACAAATAAAGGACTCTACTGACAAACAAATTGAAAGTCAACTTTCATGATAAAGAAAGAACTCTACTGACGAGCAAATTAACCAATTTTTGGTATAAGAGGACTCTACTGACGAGCAAATTAAAGGTCAACTTAGATGATAAACAAAGGACTCTACTGACAAACAAATTGAAAGTCAACTTTCATGATAAAGAAAGAACTCTACTGACGAGCAAATTAACCAATTTTTGGTATAAAAGAAATCTACTACCGAGCAAATTCCTAGATGATAAATAAAGGACTCTACTGACGAGCAAACTTAACATGGATCTAGGAAATATAAAAAGGACTCTACTGACTAGCAAATCAACAATTTTTTAGTATAAAAGGACCTTACTGACGAGCAAATTGTATAACAATTTGAATGACCAAGAAAGAACTCTACTGACGAGCAAATTAAATAGAATTTAGAAAATAGAAAAAAAAAGAACTCTACTGACGAGCAAATTAATTATTGATTTTGATGATGAAGAAGGGACTCTACTGACGAGCGAATCATATATGAATCTAGAAAATAGAAAAAGGACTCTACTGATGAGCAAATTTAAATGTCGATTCAGAAAATAAAAAAGGACTCTACTGACGAGAAAATTAAATGTCGATTTAGAAAATAAAAAAGAACTCTACTGACAAGCAAATTAAATATCAATCCAAAAAATAGAAAAAGAACTCTACTGACAAGCAAATTAAATATCAATCTAGAAAATAGAAAAAGGACTCTACTGACGAGCAAATTAATTATTGACTTAGAAAATAGAAAAAGGACTCTACTGATGAGCAAATTTAAATGTCGATTCAAAAAATAGAAAAAGGACTCTACTGATGAGCAAATTTAAATGTCGATTCAGAAAATAAAAAAGGACTCTACTGACAAGCAAATTAAATATCAATCTAGAAAATAGAAAAAGGACTCTACTGACGAGCAAATTAATTGACAACTTAGAAAATAAAAAAAGGACTTTACTGACGAGCAAATTAATTATCGACTTAGAAAATAAAGAAAGGACTTTACTGACGAGCAAATTATAAAAAAACCTAGAAAATAGGAAAAGGTCTCTACTGACGAGCATTTAAATTAGCAATTTAAAAAATAAAGAAAGGACTTTACTGACGAGCAAATTAAATATCTATTAGATGATAAAAAAAGACTCTACTGACGAGCAAACTAAATATCAACTTAGAAAATAAAAAAAGGATCTGCCTAAAAAATTGAAGCCATACTTTTATATTTGTTTTATTTATCAAGCCCTACACACAGTCAATCAATTGAAATGTGTTTGTGAGGCTTGTTTGTTTTGACTATTTCGCTGGCAACTGTAATATGTCTTTTGTAAAAATATTATAATAGTTATAACCTCAAAGGTATATAGTAACCTCGAAAAACTCGAATAATACAAATTACTTCAATAAACTTACATTTCTCACACGGCACAGATTTTTTATTTGTTTCATTATTTGCGATTATTTGCACTACAATTATTTATGGGGGACGGGATAAAATATTCTTCCGATCCTGACATTTTTATTAACTCACGATTTATACTACTATTTAACCTTAAAAAGTTTTGACATAACACCGGAAATTTGAACAATATGCTTCATGCTTTCGGTGACGTACGCACGTATAAAGTCCCGTATATAGGAATCATATCATCGAGAGCGAATGACTCTCACTTCACGTTGGCGTAACAATTTCCGTTGCATTTGTACGGAAGAAGTTTTACTTCAAAAATAAAATACAATTTTGGGTTTCATTATCATTTATCCCTGTATCAATTATTACCGTGGCTGTAATGGCCTCTCAAATCAGCAGCGATCAGAAGAGCGGCTTGCTGATCAGCATTTTTATCGCAAGCCTTAGCCTTTATAAGGCACTCCTTGATGAACCTTTTGGAATCGTCCTTGCAGCACCTCAAATCCTCATGATTGACCTTACAACCGTCCTTAGATTTTTTATTGTCGCTTTTTTTGCAGGTGCTATAGAGACGTCTGCTCGCTTTCAGGATGTTTTTGTTCCGGAGCAAACGGGACGATTCGTTGAATTTCATTTTAACTGAAAAAATAATAATATAGATAAATAGGAAAATAATAAAAATAATAAATGTCAAAAATGTCAAAAGTTAAATTTTATTTAAATAAAAAATATGTGGCTTTTGTTCCTCCTCGGGAAGCTTGCTGGGTGGAAATAGTTGATCGAACTTTGTAATCATATTGGTATAACCTTAACACAATTAGTGCAGTAAACGGAGAGGAAAAGGGTATAACCTCTGAATTTTTTACTGTGCTCCGAATTGAATGAAATTTTGGAATTATGTTCATCTTACCCTCAAGTTCAAAGTGAAAACAATTCGGGTTGCGCCATCACCCCCCGGGGGATGACACCCCCTCTCAATGTGTAATTAATTTTTTTCAAAATAACGTCGAAATCGATAGAAGAACTAATTATAAGAAAAAAATGTCTTCTATAGTTTTTTCAAAAAAACTAATACTTTTCAAGTTACTGGTCACTAAAGATTCATATATTTTTGGCGTTTTTCTTCGTTTTTTTGCAAATATCTCCTAAAATATACATTTAACGGAAATCATGTAATGAACAAAATAATGTCAATAAAAATCTTAATAAATCGGTATTACATAAAGTGTTCTAGGAAAAAATATTAGGCAAGTTTGAAAGAGCAAAGTCGTTTTTATTTCGTTCAAGATTTAATGTTGTATTCAAAGCCACTAGTGTCGAGGTTTTACATTTTATGCATTTCGGTGAAATTGGTTTTATAGTGCTCAACATAAGCTTTAAAATGAGTGCTGTTACAAGTTTTTTGCGTGTAAAATGAGTGAGCTATCATGCAAATAAGAAGGCATATACGAAGTTTTTTTCTTTTAAATCATATGGTTTAATGAGCGCCATTTCCACCAGAATGAAAGTAATTCACATTCCATCTAGAATTCACTTCATTATAGACATCTTGATGGATTCTAGTAGATTCACTACTTTAGTACAAACTATTTTCAGAAAACTCACGTTTTATAAAAACTTTTTTTTTCCAATTTGCGCGGGCCCGCGCAGTCTTAAACATTCATAACTCTGTCAATTTTTGGTGTGAAGAAAAATAATAAAAAAACAATAATAAGCCAGAAAGATCCCTTTGATTTTTATTATATGCTTTTACGTATCTTTTATTCTTTTGAGATATAATGAAAATAATTTCGATTTTTAAAAAAATTGGAAAAAAAGTTTTTATAAAATCGTGAGTTTTCTGAAAATAGTTTGTACTAAAGTAGTGAATCTACTAGAATCCATCAAGATGTCTATAATGAAGTGAATTCTAGATGGAATGTGAATTACTTTCATTCTGGTGGAAATGGCGCTCATTAAACCATATGATTTGAAAGAAAAAAACTTCGTATATGCCTTCTTATTTGAATGATAGCTCACTCATTTTACACGCAAAAAACTTGTAACAGCACTCATTTTAAAGCTTATGTTGAGCACTATAAAACCCAATTTCACCGAAATGCATAAAATGTAAAACCTCGACACTAGATGGCTTTGAATACAACAATTAAATCTTGAACGAAATAAAAAACGGACTTTGCTCTTTCAATCTTGCTTAATATTTTTTCCTAGAACACTTATGTAATACCGATTTATTAAGATTTTTATTGACATTATTTTGTTCATTACATGATTTCCGTTAAAATGTATATTTTTAGGAGATATTTGCAAAAAAAACGAAGAAAAACGCCAAAATATATGAATCTTTAGTGACCAGTAACTTGAAAAGTATTAGTTTTTTTAAAAAAACTATAGAAGACATTTTTTTCTTATAATTAGTTCTTCTATCGATTTCCGACGTTATTTGGAAAAAATGTAAT